CTTCCAAACTGCCAAGTATTTATAAGTCCGATAAATTTCTTGAAGCAGCGAAAAACAGACAACCAGCAGCCATTATCTAATAAGTGCAATGAGTTTTAAAATGTAGTCCGAATGCATAAAAGTAAAAGATTCATAAAAAAAGAATAGCAATCCATAAAATGAATTATATGTTATATTCTGATCTTTGTAGTACTGAGAAAAAGGCTTGATGGGTAGACGAGACAAATCAGAAATATATCGTCTTTAATCTTCAATTCCGCCCAATAAAAGGCCTGAGTCGATTAGGCCTATATTATATAAACTGTCTTTCTTTTTCAAAAATGTTCAGCATTTTTTCTTGAATATTTCGATTATTTATTCTAGAAATAAGTGTTTGAAAAATGTTTTTCTTATTATTCATATTAAGAAATAATTAGAATTTCACTTAAATATGGTTCACACGATCTGCTTGGCACAACAAATATAAGTATATGATGAAAATAAAAATTCAGAGTAAACAGTTCTTTTCTAAATTTGTTGTCATTTTTTCTGGAGTACAAGTATTTTTACAAGAAATATGTGTTTGTTTTTCCTATTGCCACGGGCAGACCAGAACGAAAGTCTATATAATATGGCCGCCAACCCCATTTTACTATTTACTTGTATATAAATACATATGTTATAACATATTTTCGTCTAAAATAATAAATTTAGAGTTATACTTAACTCAAACCAAAACTCAGTTCTGGTTGTATTCGGAAAAGTAATTGAAGATTGAGGAATTTCAAGACGAATCGGAGAAGGTACTAAAGGCGTTACCAGAGAAAGAGTTTTTGAACTTCTTCATGGATTTGGAAAAGCGTTGGCATAATGTGCACTGCATCCGGAGAGGACTACTTTCAAGGAGATAAAATCGTTAATGAGTAAATATATAATGCATAGTATATACATAATTTCATGGACAGCAATATTTTTGCTACGTTGGGATTCTAGGGAGGGTCTTACCCTTTACTCTTTGCCACACCCATTGCTGCCTTTTAAAATATTTATATTTTACATTTGAATTTTACGATTAAAGCCCTTCAAGAAATGTTTCACTATCATCACCACAATTAAGTTGTTAATTAAGTTAAATATGCCTAAGTCCCTAATTATAAGTGCACAGATTCTAGCTAATAGGTATTGGGATGAAGAACCACATACTTTTCTAAACTAAAGGCATTTGACAGCACCATTTTTTGTTGTTGCCCCAAAATACGAGCATCTTCTAAGCTGGCATGGCGCCGAATTGGTGGCCACTCCCCGTTAGTTTTTAAGGGAACTTTCAAGTAGTTGCGGCGACAAAGAAAAATTGCAAAAGAAACTGCAGTCAGCTCCCTCAGATCCGTACTCCTCCCCGGATGGTGCACAATAACGGCTCAAAGTACCATCAACTGTCGAAGGAAGGCAGAGACAGACAGAGACAGAGTCGGGCAGCGTGAGGACGAAACGTGTGCAAAAAAGTTTCCTTTCGGCTTTAATGATGCGCACAGACAGCAAAAGTTTGGCCTGCAAAAAGAACAACAACAATAGCAACAACTACAAAAAGAGGTAAGTAAAAGCCAGGAGGAGAGCATTTTTGAAATACGAGTCCAAATTTGGCCTGACGTTTGACGCTATTAAAGGACGCTTTATAAAAGGGTCGGAAGGATGTCCAGGATAGCGTTAGTGTCGACATGCATAAAATTGATGACAAATTTGGGGTTTTATGTGTGACAACAGACGGCAGGCGGCAATGAATGGCCAAAAATGAGCCAAAAAAAAAAAGCGCGAAAATATGACAAAAGTGAAAAACGCAAGCCAAGGCAAAATTTATGAGCGAACCAGCCAAGCAATTACGAGCACTGAAGGCGCCACTTGAAGCTGCCTTTTGCGTATGACAAAAAGTCAAGCTGAGCATCCTCCTAAAGGATGCAGCATGGGTATGAAGATGGTGTTGGGGACACAGCTGCTGTGACCAAAGCAATGTACGAACGAGTATGCAACTTTCATTTGCGCTTGCAAAACTAAAATGATGACAAAAGTTGCATTTTTGCTGCTCCTTGGCTGCAAATAAGCAAGAAGTAGCAACCAAGTAGCTGTCATTGTTGTTGTTTTTGTTATTTTTGTTGTAGCTACATAACCATTATGCCGCCAGAAGTGGCAAAAAGTAGAAGAACTATCCACTGGAGTCCGATGCGGCACTTGTTCTGTTTATACCCATCATCACAATTTGCACATTGCTTCACAATCAATTCGTTACATTTTTACATATTTTTGAATGTTCTATACACTTTATATGCTTCATATGTTGTACACAGTTAATCGGCTTATTAGTACATTAAATAAGTATAGTTATTAAAGACTGAATCATTCATTCAGGGCAGGGCAGAGTTGTTTTTTTTACCATTAAATGTGAGAAAAATAACATTTTAACAGTACATTTTACAAATACACAATATATGTTTTTGTAAACAAATTTAAACTTTTAATATATACATAGGTATCTTTTCAGCCTTGGCTAATGCAATATTTCTAATAAACTATCGCCTATTTAACTATTATAACTATTTATACTTGTAATATAACTATTTAAGCACATCATAACAAACTAATAAATTAATTTTAAAATATTAAGTCGATCGGATTGATTGAATGGTTGCAAGTGAATATGTAAATTATCATTCACAACGCTTAAATACTTTTCAGTGGGAATAAATATCCAATAAGATGCTTTATAGGGTCCCTTTCCAGTTTTCGACAATGTCTTGCAGTAGTCCTATCCAGTGTGCAGTAACAACTTCGCTTAATGGTTTCCTACCGCCCAGTTACTTGTGAACGACAGCTTTGCTGAGAAAATTTTCCTGGTTTGCTGCGGTTGCCGGAACAAAGTGCTGGGGAAGTAGGGTACTTTGGAGATGTCATAGTCACGGCTGGTTATTGTGCCCGAAATGGCTGTAAAGGCTAACCGGTACTCGAAAATTGCACTTGCAATGCGCGGTCGTTAAAGAATGCGTTACATATACAAAAAAAAATAGTAGTTGATCTGAAAAATTTCAAATTTTCAGCGCTTTTATAAAGCACTGAAATGTTACTAACACCATCTCTTATGCATAACAAGCGGCTTAATATTATGCAGCATACATTGAGCTATCAAATAATAATTTAAGCTAGTACAACAAATTTCGCAACTTGTATGTCATTTCTACATTTTTCTCATTGCAATTTAAAATTTCAACCGCTTTGAGTTAGTGGCGCCCGTCTGCCTAACTTTTATTTTCAAGCGGTGTGGCAGCGTTACAACATATCGATAACTGTGTCTACAATACATCGACTGCCAGCACATCGATAGCTTCGGTGTGTGCCATGCATCTCTAGTCGAGTTATCTGTTCCATTAAAAATAGTAATTAATAGCTGTGAAGCGTAAAGTTTTTACATATTTTTGTTAAAACCAATTGCTAGTATTTGTACGCATTAGTACAGCGTATATATTAAATATTTTTATTAATTCTATTGTACGAAATGGTCGTATCAGAAACCGACGAAAAGGTAAGCAGGTAATGGCATGGCATGCTGAGAGAGCAACGCCACTAAAAGCCCCGTACACGCCACCCATCGTTAAGCTACCAACGAAATGTCTGCAGCTGGCGTGGCAATGTATTGATTTCAAAAAATAATACAAAGGTCTAAATGGAAACAGCTATCACCGACGCACATGTGATTTCTTAAAATATAAATAAATACTTCTGTGATTAATTACATTTGACATGCTGTTACCTACGTTGCGTAGCGCGTTACGATACGAAACGTAATCGTCTCTTCATTTGCATAACAAAAACGTAATAACAAACATACGTAATAGAGATGGACATAAGACATTTTTGTTCGTGAATAACGAAGAAAAAAGTTATTCGATAAAACATTTTCAGCACGGGAAAGAATTTTTTTGAAAAGATAAATTTATAGAAATCAATTTAGCTTAGTTTGAATTCTCGAATTGATGAATTTCTATTAACCGTATGAACTGAAATTTAAATCGATAAAATCCCTCAATTTGTGAAATTTCCGGCAAATGGAGTTCGAAAAATTTGATCGAATTCCGAATTTGTAAAAGTTGTAATTGGTTCTAATCTGTCAATCATTTACAAACTATTTCCTTTAAATATCCGTGCATATGTGTGTATCAACGTCTTGCTGAGCCGCGTGTGGTTGAAATTAAAATGGCTCTTCGTGTCGTGTCGAAAGAGCCGGTCCATTTCCATCTCTAATACGTAAATTTAGCAACGAAAAAAAAGTCGCGTGCTCTTTGCGAAGAGCAGAATAAAATATAAAGACCGCTTGCCGCGCGTTTGCTGCGCGTGTTTTTTGTAGCTTTGTGTGTCATTCTTTGTGTGGCTTTGTGCCCCACCGGAATTCGCGAACAATTTACGGTGCATCGCTCTTTTCTCAAGTGATAAAGGCAAGCCAAAAGAGTAGAAAAAGTTCATGGAAAGTAAAAAACTAGATTTGAAAAAAGAAAAGTGAGCTGAGAAGACGACGACGTCAGAGACAACCTCACTACACATGCAAAAGTGCGTACGTGTGTGTGTGTGTGTGTAGAGTGCGCGTATGTGTGTGTTTTTGTGAAGCATAAAAAGTAGGTAAAGCAGCAAAAAAAAAAATAAGAAGTAAATTACTGCAATGAGAAGCGCGTCAGCCATTATTAGCAACAACAATAAAACCATTGCCGCGTCAAACAACAGTTAAGTTTTAGCCATGGCGACTGCGACGCAACGTCGCGACAAACCAACCAACGACTTTCATCGTTAAAGCTGAACCGTTGGCTTGAATTTTTTCTTTCTTCTCTTCAGTAAGCCGCCTTGTGGCTTGCAAAACGCACACAAATTAATTTTCAAAATATAATTATTCAATATAAAAGCAAATTTTGTGCAATATTTAATATGTATTAGCACTCCTATTTTTGAAATAATAGTAATAATCAACATATTTGGGAACGAACGAATAAAATTTCAAGCAAGCAAATCAAAATTTGTAGATTCAGAAAAAAATAAATAGAATCAAATCGGGTCACTGCCAAATCAAACAATTGCAATCGCACACATAGTATACGAGTATAACGCAAATAACAAGTAAAACAAGTTTTCGTTTTTGGAAACAATCAGAACGCAGAAGTACGCAAGTAGTGAATAAATTGGTCGCAAATTGTGCAAATATCAAAAAAAGAACAAGAACGACCAAAAGAAAATAAAAATCAGAGTAATAAAAAATATACCCAATAATAATTATACGCGTCGGCTGCCATATACAAAAAAAAAGATACACACACACACACACACGATCGCGACGCCGACAAGTCAAGTGAATCAGCATCTGATCGTCTCGCCCAGCAACCAACGACGTACATAAAAATCGAAACCAAAACCAATATCCAAATTCGAAACTACATATTACAGCACTATACTGCCCAATCCATATTGTAATCAGAGCTTAGGCGACGGAAATAAGAGTAAACAAAATCAGATACGGCCACAATATGCAGAGCGATTTTCACAGAATGAAGAACTTTGCCAATCCCAAGTCCATGTTCAAAGTAAACGAAAAAAATAATAATAATAAAAATGCCAACATCCAACGAATTCACTACACACATATGTCCATTCTATTTACAGAACACTGCAGTCGCTGCCAACAATGAATCGGGCAATACTGTCGGAGCAAACACAGTCGCCCCCGGACGTCCAGATTCAACAACGCCTGCAACTGTTGCTGTTGCCAAAGATGAGGTGAAGACGAACGAGCCCACAGATGAGAGTGTACGTACGGAGCATTTGTTTAAACACCCGCTGCAGAACACTTGGACCTTGTGGTATTTGGAAAACGATCGCACCAAATCTTGGGAGGATATGCAAAATGAAATAACGAGCTTTGACACTGTCGAAGATTTCTGGAGCCTTTACAATCACATTAAACCGCCATCAGATATTAAATTGGGCAGCGATTATTCACTCTTCAAGAAGGGAATACGGTACGTTTGTACACCTCAACAAATAGTGTCAATATTTATTTAAAAGGTAGATAAGATAAAGTACAATAATCGCAAGCCCAATCGTTTTGTGAAAGTGCAGGAAAAAGAAGCACTCGTGCAACTTTGAGGTAGCTTTCAAATTTCATATACAGCTAATCGCCTTTATAGTGGCGCAAAATAGATTGCACATGACTGGAACAGTCAATTCCGACCTCGCAAGATTTATTTTTGTCCGCCTTTTATTTACCATTTTCAGGTACAGCTTTATCTATATATTAAAATAAAACGTAGTTTCGATGTCATACACATAAATTACTGTTTATATCCCGTGTTATAACTATTGAGCCTTTCTAGAGCCAACACAATCCCCCGCAGTCATTTTTTCAAAACGGCTCTTACTTGTATTGACCGGATATGAAGTATTACTTTTTTGAATATAAACGATTAGATTATACTTGCAACATAACTTTATTGTAGTTGTGGACACAATTTTTTCTGCAATCTATATTTTTTTTTTTTTTTTATTATTTTGTTTTGTTTATTAGTTTTCTTAGAACCAACAAAAAAAAGATAACGTAATTCCCCTAGGGGGAAAAACGTTTCAAAAACTATTTTTGAGTTATGATGTCCATTAAGTATTGCTGTTCACGCTCAACAATATTTAAAACACTCCTTGCGTTTGGTATATGTACAAGTTACATGCATACGAGTATAATATACATCAAGCGCTTCATACGCTCTACTCTGTATTGCAATGGTGATTATGTATTATTCTTAAAATTGGATAATTTTTGTTTTTTCAGTCCCATGTGGGAGGATGCTGCCAATAAGCAAGGTGGTCGTTGGGTGATCACACTAAACAAGAACTCCAAAAACGATCTGGATAATTTGTGGCTTGATGTGGTAAGTGTGCGACTGACCGAACCATCGAGTAAACGGGAATACTGTATTTCAAATTATTTACAGCTTCTCTGCTTGATTGGCGAGGCCTTTGATCATTCGGATCAAATATGCGGTGCTGTTGTCAACATACGTGGCAAGAGCAACAAAATCTGTAAGTGATAAACGGATTCAATCGTATTTCGCTTTCCTAGCTAATTGTTTATTTAATATTTTCAGCAATTTGGACAGCAAATGGCAACAATGAGGAGGCCGCTCTAGAAATCGGCCACAAGTTGCGCGATGCTTTGCGTCTGGGACGCCAAAACCTCTTGCAGTATCAGCTGCATAAGGACACTATGGTGAAGCAGGGCTCCAACGTAAAATCCATCTACACTTTGTAAACAAACAATTAAGTATCGAGTAACGCTCGCTAAGCTTTTTTGTTTACGTCAACAATAATTGGCTTTGTGTTTGTTTGGCTTCAGATTAACATCATAGCCCTGAGCAACGAAAATATTGAGCCAAAACACAATGATTACAATACTTGTTATAAAAAAATATTGGCTGAGTATCGACAGTCACATTTTGTATTCAATATCAATTTAACGATAACATTATGTAATAGAATAATAAAAATATTTTAAAATCGTATTTTATTTATCATATTCTAAAACTTATTACAGAGGGAATGGAAGGCGGTCGTTGTTGATGTTAATGGGACATAATATTTTCCACCTTGCGCCGAAGATCGTTTCGGCCACATTCGCTCAGTGCACGGCATAGGAGCAAAACACGATGTCGGGGGTCGTTGCACTCATCATCCTCAAAGAGTTGCATTAACTGTAAAATGCGTGACTTTAAATCGTTTGGGAAGCGACATTCAATATCATCCATGGAACCTTCAGTTATATTCAGATGGCGGCCAAGCTCGCGCCATGAGCGACCCAAACTCTCCATTAATTTCTTATAAATTGCCCTGCGTTTGTCTTCCGTTAGAACACATGGAATCACATAGTTTTGTTGTATCTGGCGATGTTGTTGTCGTTGTTCCTGTGAAATAGCAGGGCATGTTTCAAGCGAACCACTGATACGCAGTTTCCTTTCCAGTTCCTCTGAAAGCCGCTGTTCGTGGTATTGGTTTACGATTGGATTGTCTGTACACTTATAATTCTCCACAGCTTCGCTGAACTTTGCGTTATCGGAGAGGCTGGCAAATTTTCGGAACGGCTCAACATTTTGTTCACTAATATTATCGTTTCGCTCCTGCAAATTGTACAATTTCCAAATGTTCAAGTGTCGTTGAATGGATAGTCAGTACCTCACCAGGCAATCTATCAACTGCTCTACGGTAGTTATGAGATCCATCTTACGGGTCGAACCTATTTCCCTTTCGAAATATATTTTTAACTCATCTAAATCAGAACTTGTCACAGTTTCAGTTAACGCTAACGCTTTTAACATATCGTAACAATAAGCACCCGACATGACTAACGGATTAATGTAGCATAGCTACATTCAGAAACGGACACTACGCGACTGAATAAAACACGACCCTTTTATCTGAAACCAAATATGCTTTCCAAACAGCTGTCAGTGTAACCCTATCATATATAGGGCATTAATTATTGAGTGTGTAAGCACTAAGTAACAGTAATCGATACATTTACGATACATAAATGTCATATGTATCGACATTTGCATCGTAATGCCGTTTCGATTCCGCTTCATTCCAATCATTTACGTCGCATCCCTCGTAAGCGCAGGTTCGTCGCGGCTGATCAAAATGTCTTTGTTTTATTTATTAACCAAAAAGCAAAATAAATGTTTGCGCAAGAAAAATTAAATCCGCAATATATGCATGATAATCAGCACTTAATTTTATCAGCACCATTGAACAGCCTACGCGTTGTGTTCGTGCCGCATTTACACAAGCAAAACAACAACAACAACCAGCAGTCCAACATTTTGTGCATTACATACATGTATAAATAAATATACATATATATGTATATATCTGTGTGTGCGTAATAATAGACTCTTGTGTGAAAAAGAGTTGTTGCCAAAGTATATTGCCTTATTGTGAAAATGAAATTGTAATAGGTTTTTGCAAAATCGAAGCAACCCAAGCAAAAATAATCAGAAGCCAACAAAAAGCGAGCCAACGAACGCACGACGCTGCAATAAAATAACAAAAATAAAAAACGAAAAGAATCAAGCTATAAATAAAGTACTAGCTAGGCCGTCAGCAGCCAGCATCTGTTTATCATTCTTAAAATGAGCAATTGTCTTAAATAAAAGTAACAACAAAAACAAATTCATAACAAAAAGGAAAATCTCATTTTTTAAACGACAAAGACGTCGCATTCCTTAGAGAGGGTCGTGCGGTCAGCAAACCCATAGCTCAACAGCAACAACTACAACAATAACAAGAGTAACAGCAGCATCAATAGCTGCAAGTGGATAAACGCTGACGCTAACGGCGGCAGCGACTGCGGCAGCGAAAATGCCTTGTGAGAACGCCAAAACGTCATCGGACATTGAACATGTCGATTGGAGCACAGGCACAGGATCAGGTCAGCACTACGCAAATGTCAGGTGAGTGTTATTTATTATTTGTATATCCTGTAACCAAACGGTGAAAGGGTGAACCAGTCTACTGCGAATGAAGACAACCCCCCCACAAAGTGCAGTGAAATCTCTATAATGCGTACAAGCGTGTTATTTCGGACATCTATTTCAATCCCATTGTAAACTCTGTTCTTGCGAAAGGCCTTTTGTAGTCACCCTAGAAATTCGAACCCAGTGCTTATAGTCGATACATGCATTATATCGACTTATACATATGTATATATATTTCGGGAAAAAATGTTGCATGCAAAATAGAAATGAACCGAATCTTCGACAAACGCACGTATTATTTTCATATTTTATTAAAAGAGCGTTGCTCTAAATTTTGATAATATGCAAATTAAAAAAAAAGGTATAGCTAAATACTCGTATGTATGAATATGCCTATGCTCTGCCAATAGCTGTTGTTGTTCCTGCTTCAGAGAAATTCCGACCTACACGTATTAGCAAAGACACAAACCCGTTGCAAATTTATGCAAAATAATCATAAATATTTAACTTATTTTAATTTGAAAATTGTAATCAAAATGTTTTGAAGTGGTTACAGATTTCGACTCTAGTATTCCATTCTTGTTTCATTCTACCGCAAAGTACCTCTTGGCTCGCTCTCTGTGGCGTCGCCCTTGACACGACAATGTCGCATAGTTTGGCATTACATTTTCATTACAACAGAATCGTATAAATTATGCAGAGGCAGAGAAGACCGCAAGTAAAAATGTATAGAAAATACAGAACAATACGCACACAAACAAATAAACAGACCGAAATCGAAACAGAAACACAGAGCGAGGCGGACGGACATACATACGAACATACAGCTAATACAGATAGATGTATGTGCTAAGTGCGTTGCTGTTGTGTGCGTGTAGTTGGGCAGAAGAGAGTGGGTGGCAAAATTGCGGTATTTGGCTTAGTCGAGGGCAGGTTCAACGAAATATTAGCGGTATTGCTTCAACTGATTTTGATTTGTTATTGCAGTAATCTCTTACAAATCGAAACCTGACGACAATCAGTTTGAAATGTAGTTGTCAATTAAACTAAAATGCCAAAACAAAGCGCTTAAAGTTGAAACATAAATGAACTATGCAGTTCTTGTAAAATGAAATCAAACTCACAAGATGGATCCACAGCTCACCTTATCCCAATAATACACAAATAGTATAATAGTATAATACTAGAGGGTTTTCTAGGTGACTTTTTGCTCTCCTCTTAGTTTTTAATTTCACTACTAAGTCAAGTTTGTCTTCAGAAATGAATGGTCTATTCTTTTCAATTCTCCCATTTATACTTTTAATTCATAAATAGTAATGGAATTTTCTGTCAAACTTAATTTAATTGTTTTGAAATATTAGATCTATTGTAGGCGTCACTTTCTTAATTGCAATCGACTCCAAATCTCAAGTATAGAATTTTCATACGTACATATCAAGGGCACCTCAAAAGCTAGACATCTAGAGGAGTTTAATTATCTAATGGTTTAGAGAATGCAGAACTTAGTGACGTAACTTGCTTGATATGTGAGACAAAAATTACGAATATGGATATGTATGTATGTGTACTCGTCGTATATGTATATATTGATTCGCCCTCGTACTTGTCATCGGCTTTGTAACTGACGTCGCAGTTGCTTTTGTTAATTATTTATAGAAAAACACGATTGAAACGTTTGATTGGCCCGCCCTTCTCAATGAATGTCGAGCACTTTTTTGGCTGTTGTTGGTTTTTTTTGCTGTTGTTTTTAAATGCGTCACAGGGCGACCCAAAGTCCACTTAGCTTTGACATAAAGAGGGGAAGAGAGAGGCACAATAAACAACTCCGCTGGCACTTTGTCTGTAAGCCGCGTCTACACAATATTATGCTTAATGCCTGCTAATAACAATCATTTAACTATCAATCACTCAAGTTTACGAGTATTTGTTATTAAAATATGTAAATGCTAGGCGAGCAAATGCTGTATTTAAGGCAAATGCTAGTTTGTTGTAACCGCAGCTTCAATTGAAATGCAAATTGTGTGTACATTATTTGTATGGCATGTTTGTATTCAGGCGCAAAGGTGTTAATTAATTGACGCCCAACTCAAAAAAATATATTTATACATTTTAATTCATACTTGCTCAGATTTTAGGTCTTTCAGTCCACTTGCTACATATTTGTAGGGCTAATGCAGTCAATGTTGTGCAAATATTTGCATTGCTTTAAATCTACGTGCCATAATTATGGCGCTATTTTAATTTATTCACGCCAAGTCAACGCCAAGTTCGTGTTGACAGGGGCAGAGCACTTCATGACAGAGCCCCCCTTATCACAAACCTAATCTCGTTCTGTTGAAATTCTTCACTTATTACAGGTCCACAGAGGCGTGTTGAAGTTTACCGGGCAAATATTTGCAATTTATATTTTATATTTATATTTACCATACAGCTTTACGCTTTGGCACGGAAACGGCTTGCAATGTTTATAGGGTATGTGTCTACCTTCGCATACAAGCACAGAATTGACTATAGATAAGAAATGTATGACATTCTATCCGTTCGTATGAACATCGAGAGCGTTAAAACCATTGTCGACTTGTCGAACCCATAGGCAGACCAACTTGATTACAAACCACCCATAGTCTCATCATTTTGCATATCTTTCATAAGAATTCTAGATGAAAAACAAAGTTGAGAATCTAAACTGTTTTATAATGCTTTACCATAATCTTTCTGCAGTATTCTACTCGCTTATTCTCAGCTTAAAATTCAATTTAATTTTGTTTTTAGTTTAAATCACATATGTACATATAAAACTCTCGTATATCTTTAAAAATATTGGTAAGATCACTAGTCGGGCTCTTTAATGTAAGCAAAGAATAAGGGGCTCCAATAATAGTTTATATAATTCACTTGTTTTTTTAAGTATAAATATATGTATATATTTACTAGTTGATTTCAAGAGCCGTAACCTTTTGTGTTGTATTTGAATAAAGAGACCAAAGAAACACATAGTTCCAAACCATTTTCAATTATTGGGAAGTTTTTATAATTCTTAAATTAAAAATGAAATTGAACTGAAAAACAACTGAAGACACCATATAAGAACAGAATTGAACGAAAACCAAACATTAACCTACCATAACGTTAATGTTATTACGTAGTCGTATTTAGATTAAATGCCACCTTAGGCTCAATGTTCAATTTCAGGTTCAAGGTATTTCAAACATAATTCAATTCAACTTTGATAACATAATCAAATATTTCTATGAAATCGCCAAAACAAAAATGTAAGTAGAGTAGTATGCTTCAGCTCGACGAGACTTATGTATGAATATATGTACTTGTATAACCCTAAAAAATAAACTAAATATATGGTCATACTAGAATATCTAAACGAAAAATTTATATAACAGGAGAAGGAGATGTATGGTCAGCATCAACGTTGTTATGAAGGCTTTTCTTAACAAAACAAATTATATTATAAACCTTATATCAGACCGGTACAAAAGTCACTCTTCTAAGCTGAAGTTTTATCGAAATCGTTGCACTAAGCCATGAAGCTGCCATAAGACGTTTCTATTATATTCGAAGTATAAAAATATTGGCTACAAGAATTTAGTGAAACATTATTTTAGAATGAAATTTTGGGAAAGTAAAAAAAAACTTGAATTCATTCCATTTTTGGACACGTGCAGTGTTCTAATGTGTACTGAATATATGGGCTCTGTGACTCATTCAATGAATGCAGTGAATTATGTAAAAAGAGAAAAAATAAACATCCACATCTCTTGAATATGAGGGTCTTAACTTACCATGTAAGAACTACATACACACGAGCATGTACACTGATTAAAAAAACACAGTCTGATATTCAGGCCAAACGTGCTTAACTTTGTAAAATAAACGTGGATGTTCTTAAATCAAGACGAAGCAATAGCATTTCAAGAAGAAATTATACTCAAATGAATTCTTAAAAGATTAATATGTGAATTTTAATATTAAATTTAATATTCCCAAGTCATTTTTCCGAAAAAGGGTCTTATAAATATTATGCCCAGCTATGTAATATTAATTTTTCTCTCTAATTAAAACTTTAAAAAATTATTGAGAACCTAAAAATAATATCTTTAACCGATAACAAACAAGTTGAATGAATAAAAGCACTTTAAAAAAAAATAAAAAAGAATTTAGGGAGTAAAACAAAACCATAAAAATTGTAAGTTAAATTGTTTGTCTTTTTGATTGAGAAAAACCCTAATACAAGGTTATATGGTCTTGGTAGTTGAATTTTCTAAGTTACCGTAGTTTTGTCCCTGATGCACATTTCTCCGAATGTTTGCCAACAAGCACAGAAAAGGGAAAGAATTCACACATACTTACTGTATACATACAGACATAAAGCCACTTGCGTTGCAAACAAGACAACAACAAACTTTAATGAATTTGAATAACTTTAATCCAAGTAATGTAAGTAAGATTCGCGTCTGTTGTTCAATCTTTTTGTTTTTGTTTACTTTTGCATCAATTGTGCACCGAAAAATATATCCAAGTCGGAGAGAGAGAAACAAATAAAGAAAGCAGTTAACTGAAAAATAAGCTATAACCAAGAGACATATCTGAGGCATTAAATGAAAACAAAGCACACAACTTTGTCTGACTCTTTTCCCTCTCTGTCTGTCTGTCTAACTGTTGGAATTTCGGACTGTCGGTTTATTACTATTTAACATACCCGTATTTATTTGATCTGGTCTTTCTGGGCCTTCTTTGTTGTTTTAAATGAACAAATGAATAAGTGTGCACATGTGCGTGTATTTCAGTAATACTTGGGGTTGTCAAGGGTTTACAAAAGGTGCTAATTTAATCTCAATTAAAGGTTTATACATATATAGCTTGTGGGCTCAGCTATATGTTTAGTCTGATCAACCATTCACTATAACTCACTGATAGCTTGCCGGGCCTGGCTATTAATTAATTAATTATTATCCCTCACC